TGCAAATCTGTGTGCATTCAACAAATTGGTCATAGATGGCACAATATTTCCACACAAACGTATACACAAAGCTACATGGATCTCACCGGACCACACCACAGTGAACCAAATAGATCATATCTGCATCAATAAAAAATTCCGAAGGACAATGGAAGATGTGAGAACCAGGAGAGGTGATGACATAGCTTCAGATCACCACCTAGTTGTAGCCAATTTAAAACTGAAGCTAAAAAAAGAACTGGACAAACAGCAATACAAAGGTTCAATACAGCCTTCCTTCGAGATACTGACAGACTCAATGAATTCAAGATAGCTCTCAACAACAGGTTCCAAGCCTTACAAGATCTACTGAAAAGACAAACTACTCTGGAGGATAACTGGAAAAGTATCAAAGAAGTATTAACATCGACGTGTCAAGAGGTTCTGGGACTAAAGAAACACCATCATAAGGAGTGGATCTCTATAGAAACACTGGACAAGATCAAAGAAAGGAAGAACAAGAAGGCAGCAATTAACAACAGCCGAACACGAGCAGAGAAAGTCCAAGCACAAGCTGAATACACAGAAGCAAACAAGCAAGTGAAGAGGAGCATTAGAGCCGACAAGAAAAAATACGTGGAAGAACTAGCAACGACGGCGGAAAAAGCTGCAAGAGAAGGAAATATGAAGCAGCTTTACAATACAACGAAGAAACTATCAGGGAAATACAGTAAACCAGAGAGACCGGTCAAAGACAAAGGAGGCAAGCCAATCACCGAAATTCAACAACAGCCGAACAGATGGGTAAAGCACTTCGAGGAACTCCTGAATAGGCCGGCTCCAATGAATCCACCGGACATCGAAGCAGCACACATAGATCTTCCTATAGATGTCAACCCACTAACGAAGAAAGAAATCAGAATGGCCGTCAGACAAATCAAGAACGGGAAAGCAGCAGGACCGGACAACATACCAGCTGAAGCACTGAAGTCAGACATCGAAGTAACTACAAACATGCTTTACCTTCTATTCAGAAAGATTTGGGAGGAGGAACAAGTGCCGATGGACTGGAAAGAAGGACACCTCGTCAAGATTCCAAAGAAAGGAGATCTGAGCAAATGTGAGAACTACAGAGGCATTACACTGCTGTCAATACCATGGAAGGTCTTCAACAGAGTGTTGCTGAACCGGATGAAAGATGTAGTAGACGCCCAATTTCGAGATCAACAAGCTGGATTCCGTAAGGATCGATCATGCACAGACCAAATCGCAACACTACGGATCATCGTCGAACAATCAGTTGAGTGGAACTCATCACTATACATCAACTTCATTGATTATGAAAAAGCATTTGATAGTGTAGATAGGAGGACGTTATGGAAACTTCTACGACACTACGGAGTTCCTGAGAAGATTGTCAATATTATTCGGAACTCATACGATGGACTACACTTCAAGGTCGTGCATGGAGGACAGCTGACAGATGCATTCCAAGTAAGGACCAGAGTAAGACAAGGCAGTTTACTCTTTCCCTTCCTCTTTCTTCTGGTGGTCGACTGGATTATGAGGACCTCGACATCTGAAGGAAAACACGGAATACAATGGACAGCTCAGAATCAATTAGACGATTTGGACTTCGCAGATGACCTAGCCCTCCTATCGCATACACACGAACAGATGCAGACAAAGACAGCCAGTGTGGCAGCAGTCTCTGCATCAGTAGGCCTCAGCATACACAAAGGGGAAATCAAGGTCCTCAAATTCAAGGCGGAGAACAGCAATCCAATCACTCTTGATAGAAAAGCTGTGGAAGATGTAGAATCCTTCACATATCTAGGAAGCATCATCGATGAACAAGGAGGATCAGATGCAGACGTAAAGGCGAGGATTGGCAAAGCAAGGGTCGCATTCCTACAATTGAAGAACATATGGAACTCAAAACAACTTTCAACCAATATCAAAGTGAGAATCATCAATACCAACGTCAAGGCAGTTCTAGTGTACGGAGATGAAATTTGGAGAACTACAACAACCATCATCAAGAATGTACAAGTATTTATAAATAGCTGTCTTCGCCAGATACTCAACATCCATTGGCCGGAAACCATCAGCAACAGCCTTTTGTGGGAGAGAACAAACCAGCTTCGAGCTGAAGAGGAAATTAGGAAAAGACGATGGAAATGGATAGGACATACATCACGCAAATCACCAAACTGCATCACGAGACAAGCCCTAACTTGAAATCCTGAAGGGAAGCGGAAAAGAGGAAGGCCTAAGAACACATTACGTCGGATAATGGAAGCAGATATGAAAAGGACGAATAGGAACTGGAAGGATCTGTAAAGGATTGCCCGAGACAGGGTTGTATGGAGAATGCTGGTGACCGGTCTATGCTCCTTCACGAGGAGTAACAGGCGTAAGTAAGTAAGTAAGTAAGTAATGTAATAACAGTATAGAATATATAATGTGACTGAAATAAGTTAATCATTTACAAAACATTTTCACTATATATTTGTATCGTATATTACCTGTCCAAAGTACAAATACGAAGGGAAATATGTGGGTTACTGTGGTGGTTCTACTTACAGTCTACTATATTTAACTCCGGGACAAGTTGTAAACTTTTATTAAAGCTCATGCGTAATTTATATGATCAAAATATGGAATTATTTAAAAAAATCTAAAATAGAAAACTTTATTATGTAGTCAGACATTCTGTGGCCTACAGATTTGAGTTCGTCAGTTCATAATTGGATCATCAATGCTTTTCTCATGAATATCATGGAGAATATTCGTTTAAATCTACAATTCTAATTTAGGCTATCGACTGTTGTTTATTTAGACAAATAAACTAAATTTTTAGATTATTACACTAATAGATTTGCCACAATAGACACGAGCAACTTGATTTAGGATTAGACTTAGAAATATTTACACTAAAAATGTCATAAAACTAGTACAGATCTCAAATTGTTTTAATAACTGTCATTAATAGTGAAATAGTATTTATGCGAATGAAATCCCAATAATCAGTAAGGGCTTGCGGAGATTGTTAAATCTCACTGAAATCATGAATCGATATAAGTTAGAACATCATTGGAAACCTAGAAACATTGGACAGCCGTTCCATCGTCGTATGGGACACCCAAGAAGTGTGCATCGAAGGTCCTGCACGTGGGAGTCGAATACAGGATCAAGTCATGAATTGATTGAAGTTAAACATTAACACCATTTGATGCACACCCAGTGGTCTAGAGGTTAGGCGTTTGTGCGCAAGGTCGAAGGTCCTGGGTTCTATTCCCATACTAGGGTGAAACAGCTGTTTGGTGCTTCCGGATTTTAATTGGTTGTTTAATGTGAATCGGTTCATGTTTTCAATGATATCACAATATATTAACAATCAGTTAATAATTATTGTAATTATAATGCTTTACACGTTGTTAAGGTAAACCGTATCCTTTGAAGGCGAAATGAACATTGCATCGGTTTTAAGAATTACGTTTTAAATGGCATTTGTCAGTATGTTTACTAGTGGAATTTACTATTGGTGTACAGGAGTTTGTTTTTCAAAATTCAACTTAAATACTACTGGAAATAAAAATAGTATTATGAAAAGACATACTTTTTTTATCATCTTAATTTTTTTAAAACATCATATTCCATTAATGAACGCCTGGCGGTAGATATGATCGATACTTCATAGTATATAAAAATAAAAATAACTTATTCACAAGTAGGTATTGATAATTATGAAACGAAACAGTTTTGGGCCACCGTGCTATCAATATTTTAATATTTACTTAGGTAAGGCTAAGAACAACACTGATCAAAAGAACATTAATTGATTTTATTTTTCTCCCATTAATTTCTTTAAGCATTTCTTAAGGTTTAAAAACACTTTTGACTTAAAGCTATGTAAAATTGTACAAATTTGAAACAATATTCAATAGTTACTGGACGAATAATCGATTTAACTTGTAATTATCAGTATAGGGGTTGTGAAGATTATCAAGTTTTTGATTGAGATCATGAACCGATTGGTGTTAGACCACCGTTGGAAACCCAAACGCACTGAGTAGCAGTTTCGTTCTATTGTGGGACTCCTCAGCCGTGCGTCCACGACCCCGCTCGCGGGATTTGAACCCAGGGCCTTCAGTCTCGCGAGCGAACGTTTAACCTACTAAACCACTGAGCCGGCATCCAGTGGTGTTAGTGTCTAACACTAACCAATCCACGAAATTGCGCGACCATCTTCCATTGTACTGCGGTAGATACCTGTCTCCACCCGACACGGATTAGCTTCACTGGTCATGGCTTGTTAACTTGTGATTAACGGAAATTTTGTGGTATTTTATATCTACAACTATATCAAGATAAAACCTTCATTATGACAGAAGTTAATTTATAATGATCGTTCTTAGAATTTTTAATCTAAATTGGCTTTAAATAACATTGAATTTTGATTTTTAATATGATTTGTAACTAAAGATTTTAGAATAGCTGTATTATAGGCTTAATTAAAGATACGTTCTATAAAAAGTCAATAGATTTCAAAAATTATTCTAGAAGCTAACAACTGTTACTTTCTTGATTGCTCATATCGGGATTGTTAATCTATAAGAAAATTGCAACTAGAACAAGATTTATATGTGTAACATGTAACTCCTGAATCATTTGGTAAAAATTGAATGATTGAATCTATAATATACTAAATGGAAGTAAAATATTTTTTCTACACATTTATGCTCATGATGTGACCTGTTTTTATTCACCTGTTCACCGTGACCAATCAAATGCATTTGTGAACATTAACGACGGAAAATCATACTCTAAACTACTGTGTTGAATCGGTCAATGGTTGACAAGATTTTCAAAAAAGAAATGATTTACACTATCAGATAGAATAACATTACTTTATTAAAAGTGCCCCCCTACCATATTTATAATATATATATATATATATAATAAAAATAAATATACGAAGTTAAACGTAGTTAAGAAAAAAATTTAATTCCGCTTACTCCATATAATTACTTTGACTGTCATTTTTTAATAATGGTGTTAGATGCATTACAAATTCCCCATTCTCATTCATGTTCCCATTAAATAAATATTCTTTATTTATTGGTATCGTTAAAAATAACAACATTAAACCAAGTGATGTAGATGATAAAGCCATTAAAACCTTGTAAATGAATAAGGTTAAAAAAAACACAAGGAATAACTTCTTCCAGAAAAGGTGAAACCAAAATATGATTTATAAAGTAATAAGTTCTGTAAAATACTTAAAGAGATTGTTTACATTGATTGGTTATTTAATAGTGCCAGTCGATCAAGTTATACACTGACTTTACCGGCTTAGATTAAGGCATATGATAATGTTACGGGTGTTTTTCCCTTCTTCTATATATAAAAAAAGCTCCAAGACTAGTCCAAACCAGTGTTAATTCTGAACAAATGGAGTGAAGTAATTGTACACGTTGACTATTTCAGAGCCTCTTAAATCATGATGTTTTAACAGTTTCAAAATATGGGTGCTGGCATGCAAAGCTCGGCTAGCTATCTCCCACATTTCTCCACCAGCTACATAGGAGATATCCACTTCTGAATCAAAGACAGTGTGTGCCTGTTAATAATTCACTCGATAGTATCTTCTGTCTGTGATGTATTGCCTCTGAGGATTTAAGATATTTTGTTGTCACAGATATTTGAAAATATGTGTCTTCGAAGTGTTATTAGCTTATGATGGAAACACTGGATGAGTGGTACTAGAGTTAAGGATGAAGTGTTAATTATTGATTGCAAATCAGTTATTGTTGTAGACCTTTATTTATGTTTAACATAATTTCAGCAAGTTAAAGACTATTGGTTAAGGCCATCTCTCAGATGAATATTATCGTTGATGAATTACGCTAGCTAACTGTAATAAATTGTTGATCTTAATTTGATACAGTTTAGAATTAGTGACAGTGATTCAGACTTATTCATTCTTTCTCAAGCCTAATGTGAATTTGGGGTTTTAATATTATAGAATACTTTTTTCAGAACTAGTTCTCTTATGTTTAGTCTTCTAAAGTTATTTGCATTGGTATTTCGTTGGCATTATTTAAGATAATTTTTAAAACTTAGATTAATACATAATAGTAACGTTGTTAGATGTTTTGGAGCAGTCAGTAGAAAACTTCAAAGCCAGGTTTCTAGCTATTTGGCTCTTTTCAGAAAGGCATAGCTGAAATTTTGACGGAATTGATGCTTTCTGGATAATCCAAACCTGAGTCACCCAGTTCCATAGTTTGAGACGTTAGTATTGAATTATTGGGGGATAAGACTAACTTTCCATTAGATTGAAATATTTAAATTGGTTGATCATTGAACAATGGCAGATGTCATGTTTATCTAATTCTTAGTATTAATTAAACTCTATTTATTAAGACTAGAAAAATAAGATAATTGTCATTGTTCAGTAAACAATCAATGTACATATTCTACAATGATCATGATTTATTTCATCGTATTTTCATTCACTTATTTCTTACTAACTTGATTTATCATATAAGTCATATTATTGTGTAAGATTTTCAATGATAAATACTTTATTTTTCAAAGAAAAATAATCAAATCATAATTCAAACTGATAAACTGTTAGTTGATACTATAAAGTAATTAAATCAAATATGTACAGGTTTTGATATTGTTTTATTTGAATCTTCCCATTGATGTTTTAGGACTGAATTTGATCAGTCTCTTATTGACATATGTGCATACTGCCTTAATTTACAAGCATTATAAGCAGAGATGGATAGTGGCTAGCAGTGGAATCCAGGACGCGCGTTTCGTCCTGTTTGGAACTCGTCAGCTGGATGTACCTGCATCTCAGAGTTGATGTTCACTCTGGGACTCGAACTCAGTACTGTTCGCTTCAAACGCTATCGCGTTATACACTGCTAGCCACTATCCATCTCTGCTTATAATGTACAGGTTTTATTATTATAAAATTTATTAGTATCATTTATTAAATTAATATTATTATTATTATATAATATATATATATATATATATATATATATATATATATATATATATAATATTATTATTATTATTATTATTATTATTATAATTGAATTAATTATTTTAAAAAAAATATATTTATTATGAATATTTCATAATTATTCATGTCAATAGAATAAATAATAATCAACATTTATAAATTAAAAAAAATTTGTTGTTTCAATAATATACATTATAATAATAACTTTAATTGACAATTATTAATTATCTTATATTTATTCTATTCATTTAAATATAAACTAACTATATTCTATTTATTCTAGACAAGTTATTAATTTTAATTTTATAATAAACTTATTTTTAAGAATAAATAATAATCATTGTTCATTCGAACATATGATGTTCTTAAAAAAAATTGTCTTATAGTGTTGTTACCGTAACGATTTATAAATAAAGAATTTCAGGATTTTTTTTTTTCGTTGGAAGTTCAATACATATTGGTACATTTTTAAAAAAAATGTTTTTGTTTCAATTTAGAAAGTTAATTTAAATAGTTTGTTTATCAATATCGGACTACAATGCAAAGTCGTGCATGGAGAACAGCTGACAGATGCATTCCAAGTAAGGACCGGAGTCAGATAAGGCTGTTTACTCTTTCCCTTCCTCTTTCTTCTGGTGGTTGACTGGATTATGAGGACCTCGACATGTGAAGGAAAACACGGAATACAATGGACAACTCAAAATCAATTAGACGATTTGAACTTCGCAGATGACCTAGCCCTCCTTTCGCATACACACGAACAGATGCAGATGAAGACAGCCAGTGTGGCAGCAGTCTCTGCATCAGTAGGCCTCAGCATACACAAAGGGAAAATTAAGGTCCTCAAATTCAAGGCGGAGAACAGCAATCCAATCACTCTTGATAGAAAAGCTGTGGAAGATGTAGAATCCTTCACATATCTAGGAAGCATCATCGATGAACAAGGAGGATCGGATGCAGACGTTAAGGCGAGGATTGGCAAAGTAAGGGTTGCATTCCTACAATTGAAGAACATATGGAACTCAAAACAACTTTCAACCAATATCAAAGTGAGAATCATCAATACCAACGTCAAGGCAGTTCTAGTGTACGGAGATGAAATTTGGAGAACTACAACAACCATCATCAAGAATGTACAAGTATTTATAAATAGCTGTCTTCGCCAGATACTCAACATCCATTGGCCGGAAACCATCAGCAACAGTCTTTTGTGGGAGAGAACAAACCAGCTTCGAGCTGAAGAAGAAATTAGGAAAAGACGATGGAAATGGATAGGCCATACATCACGCAAATCATCAAACTGCATCACGAGACAAGTCCTAACTTGGAATTCTGAAGGGAAGCGGAAGAGAGGAAGGTCTAAGAACACATTACGTCGGATAATAGAAGCAGATATGAAAAGGATGAATAGGAATTGGAAGGAGCTGGAAAGGATTGCCCGAGACAGGGTTTGATGGCAAATGCTGGTAAGCAGCCTATATTCCTTCACGAGGAGTAACAGGCGTAAGTAAGTAAGTAATTTATCAATATGGAAATATGTTCATTATTGTAAGTTAAGAAAATATTGTCAGTTAATATTCACTAATCGATTTCTTTCTAAATATTTAAGGAGAAAAAAATATAATATTAAGAAAAAGGATTGATGAAAAATGAATTTAAGATTATATCCACAATCGATAAACCTTTAGTGACTTCCTAATTTGAATATAACTTTATATTACATAGTGATACAAAATGGTTACGTTTAGGCTATTTAGAATATGACTATGAGGTTGAAATGTTTGAAAATTAACTAGTAACTTTCTAGTAACTACTAGTATACTACCTAGTTTTCAGTGTCAATCAAATTCTATCGATTATGTTTCAGTGTAATCACTATTCCTAGTAATTTAACACAGTGATGAACATTGTCCAATGTTGATTTAATGTGGTGGGGGGGGGAATAATAGGCAAAATGTTATGAATCAATAATAATGGCTACAAAATACCAAATTTGTGCGTAAATGAGAAAAGAATACTAAAATCAATGAGACTTCAGAATATCTTGAAAAATTCTGAAAACTGTTAAAACTTTAATTTAATTACATTTCAAAGTATGATTAATTCTTGAAAAGTTTAGTACCCGCTATTTTCAGGAACTTAATTTCAGATATATTCAAAACATTATTTTGTATACTGTTATTATTTTGCAGGATGCATCTTGGTAAGTAAGAAATAACAAGTTATGAAATATCTGTAATTAGGCTTTAGGAAATATTGTTTTTCAACTTCTTAATCACAACCGTGCAAACACCTAATCATATGCTTAAATCAGTGACTTTATCCTTTATTAAAACAATAATTAAAAGTCATCAGCCATTTACTGGTTATCGCCAACTGCTACATAGATGTAATAGCGGTTATTCTTTAATTGAAGATGAAATAAATGATGATACAATAAATCTATATAAACGATAGTGATTGAAAAGCTTATTTCTTAATTATGCTCACTGTAGTTGTTATAGTATTCTGTTGACTACATGACAGCTGAGGACATGAGGTAACTTCATATGAGGACATAAGCAAGTGAGTGTTTGTTCGGTAATAATACCTAATTTTATCGTGAATTAATTAAGGAATAAACAACGAAACCATTAACAGACTACCCTATCAAAAATCATTAAAAGTCATATACATCAGGTGAAGTACATCAAGAATGCCGCTAGTAATGTAAGTACATTTATGACTATGAAACTGAACCACTTTAATTTGTTCGACGAGACTGTCATTATTTGTATGGAATTTGACAGTGATTAATGTTGGCGCTCGAGACTAAAGGCCTTGATTTCGAATCCTATGTGCGGCATCTTGGATGCTCACTGCTGAAGAGTTTTATACTAAAACTAAACGAACATTCAGTGCTTCCAGATCTTCATCGGTGGTCTAGCTTAGATCGACTCATGAATTCAATTGTTAAAGTTACTATAATCTTTACAATTCCCCATTTAGATAATTCAGTATCAGTCTACAAAAAGTTCTACATTCCATTCAATATGGTGATTTGACAGAAATAATTAGTATTTCTAAGTACATTTATGGTTGAATTTGAGAGTTAGGTTAAATGACTTTATTTCAGCTACTGATACTTTTCGTTAGTGAGATGAATATCATGAAAGAATTGATCAATAATTGCAGCAGATAATAAATAATGATCATTTATTAAGTTTGTCGACTATTAGTTTATACTAAATTGACATTTGTAACGTATTTCACGATAATATTAAAAATACTAATGTTTTATTACATAATTTTCTCAATCTTTTATGAAACATACTGTCTAAATTCTTCAGAAAACCTTTACTTACATTTCAAAAAATAAATTCGACTACAAAACAAAAACCTATTTCCTTTCACAATGTAAATTTGTAATTGAAGAGAAAGCAACAAAAAAAACCCCCAGTAACATTTACATGTAAAACACTTTTTCATTAAATATTACAATTAACTATGAAAAAAAAGTAATAATAACTTACATAATTACGATGTTTTGTATGATCTGCAATCATACCAAATATAATTCTTGAAATACATGAACAAGCATTTGAAAATAATGATGTAATTCCTAATTGATATGAATTTAAACCATATGTAGCAAGTATTGGATTCATATAAACAAATAACGATGAAATGGCTAATATAAAAATAAAATTAAATAATTTAAAAAATAAATTTATTATTTTGTTTTGAAAAAACAAATAAAAATTTATATTTTAAACTTACCACAAAATTGAAAAAAATAATTAATTTTAACTGCAATTAATTTTTTATTAATTTCTTTAATTAAATTCATAATTTATAAATTGTATTTTATTATTACAATAAGCAAAATGTGAAATTTTTATTCAATGAATTAAATAATAATAATAATAATTGACAAAATATTTAATCATATTTGATTGGTTATATGTTAATTGATTAACTATTTTAGTTAAACAATAATATCTAAGTCATTGATACAATTATATCCACCTCCATTTTTTAAATGTCAAGGTGATATAGAATAATTTCATCCAATTATATTATTCAAATTATTGTGAGTTAAATATGAATAATAGTAGTATATATATATATATATATATATATATATATATATATATATATTTCAAACGAAAACCACTTGTTTAATAATTTATAAATGAAATCATATTTATAAAGGTATTTTAAAGAGAGAGAGAAAAAAAATGGATAGAATATCTATATTTTTTTAAAGAAAGTATGATAATGTTTAAATTTGTCATGTTATAATGTTGGTATAGATTACGTCATAAAATAATCAATTAGTTACAAGAATAATCAATAACATGTATACTTTGTTTTAATAATAAAGTGAAATTTAAACAATTTTGTTCCTTTAATTTTTATTTGATTAGCTTAGTAGCATTTTTGATTTAAACAAAATATTCGATACATTCTTTAGTTGTTCACAAATTATTTCCCAATAACTGAGTAAATTATATTCATACACATACAATATAAATAATATTCAAGCTTTTATATGATCAGGGAATTCACTATAATAGGTTTCATTCTATTTGTATACATAATGGTATAAGAACAATATAGTTTTATTTCAAATTACGAATGTTATTGATGATGTTCGGTGTCCGTTAATTATAGATATCAGTAGGTAGATATTGATCAGTTTAATTATCACTTGTTATTAGTAGGGTTGGTGTTTGATACTAGTGGATGGAGATAATTGTCAATAAAATACAACCGATAGAAGTGGTAAGAGAATATAATTTTTGTTGGACCTGATTAAATTGGGTAAATAGTAGTTATGAAAATATTTTACTTATTTTAGGCGTTGTTTTATTCCTGAAACTGATAATATTAATGAGAAGATTGGTATTTAATCCAGGGATCTGACTCAGTTTAACAATTATCAATAATTAAATTGAGTAATTTGAATGCACTGATAAATTTAAATTTCCATGACGTAGTTATGCCCAAGGTGGATGACTCGTAGCAGTAAGAAGTCCCTAAACAAGAGAAGCCAATTACTAATTGAGACATGTTTAATTCTAGTCAATCAAATATCTCTTGAAAATTTCAGTGAATAATATATATCTTTGTTTGGATTGAAACCATGAATGAAATAATGTTAAACTACCATTGAACATCTGTAACAATCGGGCGGCCGTTTCTTCCTAGCATGTGACTCCTTAGCAGTGCGCATCCACGTCTTTGCGCCCGGGAATCGAACCCAGGACATTTGGTGTCACGCGAACGGCTAACCTCTAGATCACTGAGCCGGCATCCAACGGTGTTATTGTCAAACTTTAACCAATCCATGATATTATGTGATCATCTTCCATTGTTTTTGGTGAGTGACTGCCTCACACCTTTGTTCATGGCTTCTTACTAGAACTCATCTCATTAATGAGTATATGATAATTATCAGTATAGGGTTGCCAAAGAAACAGCCACCCATTGCTTCCAGTTTTTCAATGGTGGTCCAACTTAGATCAGTTTATTATCTTAACAAAATTATATTGCCAGTCGTTATCCGTGGAATTTTGGGTTTCAGTGTGATATTCGCTACTAAGACGTTCTGAACTACGATGAAAATGACAGTCCGGTTTTACACACTTATCTACTTTGCTGAAAGTAATATCAGTTTCAAAATCAATCCTCAATAAAACCTCTTTTATTTGAATTTTCTATGTCTATTTTGAGTAAAAAACTATTATTGGTGATGGATTTAGTTAGTTTAAAGTGGTTTTTCATCATGATTTTAATTGAATGACAATTAGAACTAAATAAAAAAAATCAAATAATATATTTTATCATTCGAGTATGAAACTTGTTACTGGTTTACAAATTCTCAGTGACTAACATAATTTATTCAAGAAAAATCCGTAGTGAACTAACACTGAAAAACCGGAATTGTGATCGATTGAATATATTGTCTTATCTGATAGATCAATTTTATTAGTAGAGATTTATTCTTAACAACGAATAACAATCATGTTGTCTCAGAATATAAGCTAAAAAGTATTCTAAACATTGTATTATGAAACATGAGGTGAACAGTAACAAGTTTCTTTAAATCTATTCTATGAAATATGTTTTTTGGTTCATAATGAATACTGAATTGAAGATAGAATCATACAGTTATGATTATAAAAGTCGAATTTATGTTTAGTATTGAAAACATTTATTTATTTGAATTATACGCTGATTAACTTGTTATCACGTTTTTTAAATGATTAAAATGTCACATAAGCTGCATAAGATTCATGGTAAGTGTACGATGAAAAAATCTTTTGAATGTAAAATCTGTCATTAGAAACGTCTAGAAATAAGATTAACTATCTATTCAACGACATACTAAATATTGTCTATGTTATTAAAGTTTGTATGCATCTTTGAAATAATCAAGAATTCTTCAGTGATTTTATAGGTAAATGGTCGTGTTAAATTGTAAAAAAACATCGTTTTTGTATGGAATATTTAGTAGGTTGTAAAAATACAATTTTTGATGACTGTATCTTATCAAGTTAATAAACTATTCGGTATAAAACAGTTTCTGTTTTAAAGTTTAAATATTTCCAGAACATAAAATGGCAGATAATCATTCAGGTTTAAAAATTTATCGAAAGGAAGATTGAGAAATAATTTCAAAATTTTAACGAAATGAAAACGAGAAAAATTAAAAAGAAAGATGACAATAATCGATTATATAACACTTGAATAAAGATAACGTAATCGATTTTCACCCACAATCTCTTGAAAACTGTTTTGAAATTGTAACAACCTAGGAAATTTCTTATCGAATAGACATTTATTTGAAAAAATATTTTTTTAAATGTATGGATATACATAATACATCAGATTATGCTATAACTGTGAGAGCAGCAACAGATTAGAGGGTAGCGAATTATCGATCGGACCAAAGACGCACAAACACGTAGAACGACCTAGGGTTCTAATTGGTCCCGCTTCCCTATCTAGCCAAGCAGTTGAGTCCAGAACGCAAGTCTCAGCCCCGGATATATGAATCATTATATTTCAAACATACTTTGTTTATATACCAGTCAAGCAGACCACAACGTACCATAAAATAGAAAATAACATTGTACAATATTGACCAGTAGGGAAATGGCACGTGAAATAAGTTCTGACCAATAAGTAAATAATACCATCTCCAAGTCCAAGAATAGCATTAGACTTATTGGATAATTTCTGGGATATTTTCCTGAATATCCCAACAGATTATCATAATTTATTCTTGTCTCAGATATACTATGTTTATCCTCTTTCATACACAGTAGAGTGGTACTCTTTTTCTTTAGTCTATCTTACATTTCTACAAGATTTTATGGATTGCTGTTTGATTTTGTTAGATATATGAGAGCTTCATATAAATACTTTTCTCATCATCACACGTCTTCGATAAGTTTATTCACATCTAAATTTGTTTAAGGTTTTCAACTAATGCTTATGATCTAGGCTTTGAGCAACTATTTTTTCAGAAATGATCCGCCTGTAGCTCTCATAGGGTTACTGCCGGTCCCAAGCCCAGGTAAAGGAGGAGGGTTGGGCATGGGGTTAGCGTCCCCATCCCGTAGAAAACTAACTCGCTAAAAAAACGCTTACCAGAAAAAATAATCCAAACCATTTAAACTCTGCCCTGGGAGTTAGAAGGTCTTCATTTAGAAGAATGATGACGCTTTATGGTGAAAGCCGAGTTCCTTCGGAAGCCACGAGGCCGATGCCCCTTCTAACAACCAGAGCAAAAATTTTTATAGGTACATGGAACGTTCGAACAATGTGGGAAACCGGGAAGACCAGTCAAATAACAATGGAAATGAGGAGATACAACTTAGCAGTACTGGGAATCAGCGAAACCCTCTTATGCTGTCCAAAGTAGCACAAAATGCACTTGTAGGATGGGAATCTCACGGATCTAGAATCATCAAAGCATCATTCAAGACAAAGAAAGAGGGGATCTTAATGAATATTATCCAATGTTATGCACCCACAAATGATAGCAACGACGACATTAAAGATCAGTTCTACGAGCGGCTGCAGTCAGTCATTGAGAAATGCCCAAGAAAGGACCTAACTATTCTGATGGGAGATCTAAATGCCAAAGTCGGAATAGACAACACTGGATATGAAGATATTATGGGACGACATGGACTGGGAGAAAGAAACGAAAATGGAGAAAGATTTGCAAATCTATGTGCATTCAACAAATTGGTCATAGGAGGCACAATATTTCCACACAAGCGTATACACAAGGCTACATGGATCTCACCGGACCACACTACAGAGAACCAAATAGATCATATTTTCATCAACAAAAAATTCCGAAGGACAATGGAAGATGTGAGAACCAGGAGAGGCGCTGACGTAGCTTCAGATCACCACCTAGTTGTGGCCAACTTAAAACTGAAGCTAAAAAAGAACTGGACAAGTGGACAAACAGCACTACAAAGGTTCAATACAGCCTTCCTTCAAGATACTGACAAACTCAATGAATTCAAGATTGCTCTCAACAACAGGTTCCAAGCCTTACAAGATCTACGGAAGGAAGAAGAAACTAGTATGGAGGACAACTGGAAAGGCATCAAGGAAGCACTGACTTCAACGTGTCAAGAGGTTCTGGGTCTAAAGAAATACCATCATAAGGAGTGGATCTCTACAGAAACACTGGACAAGATCAAAGAGAGGAAGAACAAGAAGGCAGCAATAAACAACAGCCGAACACGAGCAGAGAAAGTCCAAGCACAAGCTGAATACATAGAAGCAAACAAACAAGTGAAGAGGAGTATTAGAGCCGACAAGAAGAAATACGTGGAAGAACTAGCAACGACGGCGGAAAAAGCTGCAAGAGAAGGAAATATGAAACAGCTTTACGATACAACGAAGAAACTATCAGGGAAATACAGTAAACCAGAGAGA